TTTCCCTGCACTGCTCGTGCGCTTTGTGTCGCCTCGCCACTCACCCAGCTCTTCGCCACTCACCCAGCTCTTCGCCACTCACCCAGCTCTTCGCCACTCACCCAGCTCTTCGCCACTCACCCAGCTCTTCGCCACTCACCCAGCTCTTCGCCACTCACCCAGCTCTTCGCCACTCACCCAGCTCTTCGCCACTCACCCAGCTCTTCGCCACTCACCCAGCTCTTCGAACGACCCTGGGTCCAGAAGGGTCATGATGCGCTCTCTCGCGGTCAGCTTGCCCTGCTTGTGCTGCTTCCGTATCCGCTCAAACCCCCCGCCCTTCAGCGCCTCTGCCTGTAGCCGCTCCAGCTCAATCACTGACGGCTGGAGAGGTGAGGGGAAGGTAGGGGAAGCAGGAAGGGAAGAGGGTGCGTAGAGGTAAGCTCGACTTGCCCTGCTTGTGTTGCCTCTTTATCCGCTCAACCCCCCCCCCCCCCCCCCCCCCCCCCCCCCCCTTTGAGCGCCTGTGCCTGTAATCGCTCCCGCTCAACCATTGACGGCTGGGGAGGTACGCGGGGTGAGAGTGGAAGGTAGGGGACGCGGGAAGGGAAGAGGGTACGTAGATTAGAGGTAAGCTGGACAAGCCTTGCTTGTGCTGCCTCTTTATCCGCTCGAATCCACTGCCCTTCAGCGCCTGTAGCCGCTCCTGCTCTATCACTGACGGCTGGAAATTTGGGAGAAAAGGGGTTGGAGGAAGGGTGGCGGAAGAAGGGAAGGGGATGGTGAGGAATAAAGGTGATACTCGAGGGTCCCTGCTCATGCCGCCCTTGCCGCTCGTGCCGCTCGTGCTGCTCGTGCCGCTCATGCTGCTCGTGCTGCTCGTGCCGCTCATGCCGCTCATGCCGCTCATGCTGCTCATGCCGCTCATGCTGCTCATGCCGCTCATGCCGCTCATGCTGCTCATGCCGCTCATGCCGCTCATGCTGCTCATGCCGCTCATGCCGCTCATGCTGCTCATGCCGCTCATGCCGCTCATGCTGCTCATGCCGCTCATGCCGCTCATGCTGCTCATGCCGCTCATGCTGCTCATGCCGCTCATGCCGCTCATGCTGCTCATGCCGCTCATGCCGCTCATGCTGCTCATGCCGCTCATGCCGCTCATGCTGCTCATGCCGCTCATGCTGCTCATGCCGCTCATGCCGCTCATGCTGCTCATGCCGCTCATGCTGCTCATGCCGCTCATGCCGCTCATGCCGCTCATGCCGCTCATGCTGCTCATGCCGCTCATGCCGCTCATGCTGCTCATGCCGCTCATGCCGCTCATGCTGCTCATGCCGCTCATGCCGCTCATGCTGCTCATGCCGCTCATGCTGCTCATGCCGCTCATGCCGCTCATGCTGCTCATGCCGCTCATGCCGCTCATGCCGCTCATGCCGCTCATGCCGCTCATGCCGCTCATGCTGCTCATGCCGCTCATGCCGCTCATGCTGCTCATGCCGCTCATGCCGCTCATGCTGCTCATGCCGCTCATGCCGCTCATGCTGCTCATGCCGCTCATGCCGCTCATGCTGCTCATGCCGCTCATGCCGCTCATGCTGCTCATGCCGCTCATGCCGCTCATGCTGCTCATGCCGCTCATGCCGCTCATGCTGCTCATGCCGCTCATGCTGCTCATGCCGCTCATGCCGCTCATGCTGCTCATGCCGCTCATGCCGCTCATGCTGCTCATGCCGCTCATGCCGCTCATGCCGCTCATGCCGCTCATGCCGCTCATGCCGCTCATGCCGCTCATGCTGCTCATGCCGCTCATGCCGCTCATGCTGCTCATGCCGCTCATGCCGCTCATGCTGCTCATGCCGCTCATGCCGCTCATGCTGCTCATGCCGCTCATGCCGCTCATGCTGCTCATGCCGCTCATGCCGCTCATGCTGCTCATGCCGCTCATGCTGCTCATGCCGCTCATGCCGCTCATGCCGCCCGTGCTGCTTTTCTATCCGCTCGAACCTCCCCGAACACCCCCTCTCCTTGGGGTTCCCAGTTTCCCTGAGGGAAGGGGAGGGGAGGGACGGGAAGCGAAGGGACGGGGGGGGTTAGGGATGGGAGGGGAAGGGAACGGAGGGCAAGAGAACAGAGAGTAATTAATAGAGGGGAAAGGAAGGGAAGGGGAAGGGAGGGAAGGGAAGGGGAAGGACCACCCTATCTGTTGAGAGACCTCCCACTTGTTTGAAGACATGTCACCTGTTTAAAAACGTGTGCAGCGGGAGCAGAAGGCGACGAGTCCAATGCCTCCGTCAGTTGCGGCCCGCATGCCACGCCGCTGGGCGACCCTACTACCGTCCCGGCGACTCCTGCTAGCGTCGACGATGGCGCAACAGCAGCCGCTGCTGCGAACGGCAGGAGCGGCGGCATCCCCGTTGTAGGACGCAGCGATGCTGCTCCGCTACAAGCATGGCCCGACGCGGCGCAGGGAGTGGTGTTTATAGCGGAGGGAGTGGAAATGGGTGGTGAGAGGCGGGAGTAAAGGGAAACGGGGCGGGATTTAGCGGCTCCGCGACGAACGGAGCCCGTGAGAACACGCGCGAGCACCATGCCGAGTTGCTGTTTCCTGTAGTGAAGCTGCGGGTGATTACAACTAGAGAGGCTTAGGGCAGGAGGACGTTATTTATGACATTGCATTGCAAATCAGGGTTGTCTTCAAGTCGAAAAAACAGATGCAAACCTGTGGGGTCAAATCGATTGCTGTCGACTGGCAAGCGATTCTGATTGGCGAGTGGTCGTCTCACCAATCACTCTCGACTTCCCAACCGGAGTGTATCACCTGCTGACGCACCACCCAGCTGGGTGACGAAGCTAGGTAGGGACCAGGGCAAATTTTATCAGTGTAAATCACCCTGATACCCTGATTATCAGGGTGGTTTTTGGTAGTCACACTGATGGCCTAGGGTAATTTTTCCGGGAGCTAGAATTTTCCTGATATGCCAGGGTTTACATTTAAGGCACACTGATGACTTAGGGTTACCGATTTCATAACGAGTTGTACTCTGAAACGAGTATAAAAACATAAACAATTGGAATATGGATGTGGGAGTGGGCCAGTCGGTAGATTGGGACTCCGGAAGGATGAAGACCCGGAATCGAGTCTTGTAGCTCGCGTTTTTGTTCAGAACTTCCGTAGAAACACTTCATCAGAGTATTGAAAATTGTTACACTGTGGCATAAGGGTATTTTTTTTGTAACTATGGAAAACCCTGATGGAAAAGAATTTTCCCAAGGGGTCACACTGATAATCAGGTTTTTGCAAAGGTGCAGGACTGATGATAAGGGTTGCTTAAAACCAAAAATTAGCCCTGGTAGGGACCACCTGACCTGACTCGGCCAGCTGGCCAAACTGAGCCCGTCTGACGCAGCACCAGCTCAGCCCGGTAACATGTCGGGCATCCTCGCCTGAAAGGAATAAGTTACAAACAGAAAATATTCTTATACGTAGTTCCGTATATCAATATGTTACACTGTATTGATTCCCACTTGTCCACGTCAGACAGGGTCGTCGTTATCAGACAAAATCTGTCTAATGGTCTGATTTTCAGGCCTATTTCTATGGGTTCATATGATGTTATAGGCAAGTCAAATAATTTCATCCAAACGCTCAGAAATGAAATTTTGATTCGTCTGATTTTTCAGATTTTTTTTTTCCGTCTGAATTTGCACACAACGACGATGTGTTTGTCTCGTCTCGGCTCGACACTGCATTTTTTGCGCCGACTTAGCAAGGGATCGGCTCAGGGTTGATCGCGGGTAGAATTGTTGCAGCGGAAGTGGTAACCTTAGGTCAGGGTGAATGTAAATGACTGAGATGATAAAAGCATGCATACATCGAGTTTATATAGGAAATACAAAGGAATACGAAACGACCTAGACTAGCCATGTACTCTAAGAGGTACATTGCCTTATTATAGCGAAGTTCAAACCGTGCGGCGCGAGAACCCGTTTCGAACATGTTCCCGCTCTTTTCACTACAAATGTTTCTGCATGCATCGGTCTTGATCTGACGGTTGCTGGTGTCGCTTCGACTCTTCTGACTCCTCGACTTCGTACTCGGTAGAGTCGACTCCTGCAGCATACAGGAATGCCTTCTCATTAAGTTTCATATCGCAACACCCCCTTTCATTCTTGCACGTCTCGGGGGCTGACTCGCTTGACTACTCCGGTCAGGTTGGAGCAATGCTGGTACTGCTGATGTGGCAGTCGCTTGGTGAGGAAGTCGGCTGCCATCTCGGTGGTGGGGCAGTACGCGAGGTCAACCTTGCCCTGGTCAATTTCATCCTTGACGAAAAAAGTAACGGAGCGCGATGTGCTTCGTTCGGTTGACGAACCCCACTTGTTCGCGATCTTGATGTCGCTTTGGTTGTCGCAGTGAAGACGGAAGGTAGGCAAAGTTTGGATTTCCGCCTCCTGTAATAGCTATTGGAGGTAAAGTCCTTCGCGAACTGCAGCCGTTGCGGCGATGTACTCTGCTTCGGCTGATGACAGGGCAACCAGTTCGTGCTTCTGCGAGTTCGAGGAGATTGGGCACGTTGGCTCCAGGCGGAAGACAAAGCCGGTTCGTGACCATCGGTTGGCAGGGTCAGCTGCGTGATCTGCGTCCACGTAGCCAGTGAGGTTGAAAGATGTTGTTGTCAGCGTGTAGTAGGAGAGCCCGATGTCATGTGTGGATATGAAGTACTGTAGGGCGCGCTCCAGGTCCAGGTGGTTCTCTGCTACTGGCTTGCGGGAGCACTGTGCCAGTTGGCTGGCGATGTACGAAAGGTCGGGTCGGCAGGTGACGGAGGCGAACAGCAGGCACCCCAGTTGCTGTTGATATAGATAAAGTCCTCCGGGCGACAGAGGTTTGTTGTTTGGTTTGTAGTTGGCGCTGGGGGTGCGATAGGGGGTTGAGAGTGGTGCGGGGGAAAATTTGAAGCGCTCCCCAAGGAATTGCATACTTGGAGGTTGACGAATGAATTGCTTCTGGTGCGTAAGTGATGTTCAGCCCCAGGAACTGTGTAACTTTGTGGTTGATGGTGATGTCAACGCGCTGCGCCAGGTTTGTTTCAAACTGGTTGATGAGCTTGTTGCAGGTGCCGGTGTACAGCAGGTCGTCGACGTAGACTATCAGGAGGATGTTGTCGCCGTTGAAGTGGAGGCGATACATTCCCGGGTCATGCGGTAACCGCGTGAAGGCGATCTCGAGGAGTATTTTGTGCAGATGCTGCTGCCAGAGTCGCGGCGCCTGCTTGATCCCGTAGAGGGATTTCTTCAGCTGACAGACCATGGGATCTCCTTCCTCGTAGGTGTGTGGCTGCTCTATGAAGATGGTTGCGTCGACCAACGCGTTCAAAAATTCGTTCTTGACGTCGATCTGCCACAGTGGTAGGTGTTTAGCGGCTGCGATGGCGAGTAGAATTCGCACAGATGTATGGCTGCTCACAGGGGCGAAGGTTTGGTCGAAGTCAATGCCGTGGCGCTGGTCGTAGCTACGTATGACCCATCGTGCCTTGAAGCGCTCGATATTTGCGTCAGCAGCGGTCTTTAGACGGAAAACCCATTTTCCGCTTAGCACCCTCCTCCCCTTCACTGCTGCACGATCGAAGATGACCCACGTGTCGCGCGACTCCAGTGTTTTCAGTTCCGCATCCATCGCCGCTCGCCACTCCTTGGCGTGTGGGCCCGTGAGGGCCTCCCGTGGGTTCTTAGGCTCAGTGATGCGCGGAGCGGTAGTGATAGCGGTGTGCAGACCGAGTAGTTGAAGGCCGGTGACATTAGCCGTGCCTTCGACTTCCTGAGTGGTTACCTCAACCACGTCGTCGTCGTCGCTCTCGTGTGCTGGCGGTGGGTTGCTTGGAGTGTCATGGCGTCGTGATGGTGGCATTGGCGCGGGGGCGTCATCATCGTCGTCGTCGTCGCGAGGAGGTACGACGGGATGTTCGTCCGCAGGATCGCGGTCGAGGTAAGCTGCAGCTGCCTCATCTTCTGGAGAGGCGAAGCTCCGGCCATTGTTGGCGTAAGCTTGGGCGATGTTGCCGCGCTGGTACTCGGTCCACTGCTGCAGGGTAAGTCGTTCGTAGAAAAGAATATCTCGTGCGGGTACTATTTTGTTGTTGTTGACCTCCAAAATCAACCAGCCCTTGTACTCGTAGCTGAGCCCCAAATGAACTCCCCAGCGCGCTCGTTCGGTGAACTTGCCGATCGTAGCTGATGTCAGCCTGTACTGCACCATGCACCCCCAGACTCTCAGCATGGTGGTGTCCCCCCTTGTCCCGGTCCACTTCATGTTTGGTGAGAGATCCCCCCTATTCGTTGTGTTTGACAGAAGGTTGTGAAGATACATGGCGTACGGCCTGTACTTCTTGGGGAGGCCGGACTAGTTCATGAGGGCGCGGACCTTCATCATGAGGGTGCGGTTGACGCGTTCGGCGACGCCTTGCTGCTGGTGAGCATAGGAGAGTGAGATGTGATACTTTATCCCCTTCTCCATGAGGAAGGCCTGCAGTTTGTTGCCGCGGAATTCTTCAGCGCCGTCTGTCTGCCAAATCTTCAACTTCTTCCCCGATTCCCGTTGCGCGTGAGCCAGCCAGATGCGGAAGACTTCTGGGGCTTTGGAGCGGAAGTCAACGTTGGCGACCCAAACGTGGCGTGAGTATGCGTCGATGAAGGTGAGAGTGTGATTCTCATCGCTGACTCCCCCATAATTGACAACAATGAAGTTGCTGTAGACTTTGTGCAGCTTCTTGTAGCGGTTGGTGCTCGGCTCCAGTGAGGGGTAAGCTTGGTGCGTGAGGGCAGCTGTGGGGCAGACGGTGCAGGTTTGTGGCTGTGTGGTGCTTCGTGGTTCCGTGCCGTCAGGGCGCAGCAGTGCTCCTGGCAGGAATACTTTGGCGGTGAGACAGTTGTTGGATGTATGGCGTGAAGGGTGGCCGAGTCGCTGGTGCCAGAGGTCAAGTTCTGCGCGGACTCCAGAGGTGCGCAGGTATCGTGCGTGATACGCGGCAGATTCTGCTTCTGTCTCATAAGGAATGTTGAGCACGGGCCCTTCTTCTTCTCCTAGTTCCGCTTTTTCTTCCTCCTCTGCTTCTGGTTCTGCTGCTGTCTCTCCTTCTGCAGGTGCGGTTGTCAGGTAGAGCGCGAGGAAATTGCGGTCGGGAATGGTGTTGAGCGGGATAGTTGTGCCTTCGATGAAGCGAGCGAAGGGATCTGGTCGAGAGAGAGGTCAGTAGGCGTCGCGCGGCGGAGTTGTGGGCACGTTGCCGTGTTCAAGTCCGGACCAGGTGTAGTTCCTGATCTGGGGTGAGCGAGGAGGTGACGGCATATTTCGCGGAGGTCGCCCGAGAGGAACTACGACTCTCGGTGGTGGTTGCGTGGCGGCTCGTTCAGCTGCCATTTCTCTCTCCTCCTCTTCTAGTTCTTCTTGGGTGAGCTCCCCTTCAGTGAGTCCCTAGGCTCAGGTGTTTTCCTAGCCTCCTCCGCCTGTACCCCAGCTGCGTG